CACAGTTTGGAGGAAACCTCTTGGGGAGGTATAGACTCAAATGAAAAAAAAAAAAAATTAAAAGAGACTCAAATAGTGGTAATTGTTTTTTTGGGGCAAGGGCGTGATTAGGACAAGGATGTAAAAAATCCTTGAGTGGAAACTGTTGATTGCTCATATCATGTGTACATATATGACTAATGTGAACATCCATTCATCCAAACGTCCATTATCCAAACAGATACACAGTTGTCTTGACCCTTTTGGTAAGTTTCCCAGCTCATATCAGACAGAGGCAGGTATTCACTGGAAAATGCACATTCATCAGGCCCGGCTCTGAAATTCATCAAACAATTCATCAAACTTTTTTTGTACAGCCCAAATAATTGCAGATCACCATTTGTCTCATAGGGTTTAACAAGCTGTGACATCCAATGCCCTTAACCCTCGACAAGAGTAGGTAGAAAAAAAATGTTCTACAGAGTCGCAAGTGAGGGATCCCGCTCCCAGGACAGACAGACAAATTCAAATCAGTAATTGAAGAGTCCAGAGGAGGAAACCAACGTACGGGAGCACACTGAATGTCTGAGTTTAAGTGTTTCAGTGTAGCGCAGACAAATAAAAAGAATACCTATTTTCTCAGTGGTCAAATTACTGTGAGTCAAATCGAGGCCACTATGGATGGAAAGCCTAATACAACTGTCTCTTCTCACTCCCCTTATCTCCCACTGTCACTCCCGCCACTCTCTCATTTTCCCTCTCCTCTCCCCATTAATATTTATCAGAGGTAGTTCCAGTCTAGACAAGCTTCTGACATGATGTTCGAAGGCCATCATGTCCTATGCCTCACACAGAGAAGAGTTCGTCCTAAGTGGTCTCTCTTTCTTCTTTCTTTATCTCTTTCTCGCGCTCGTTCTGCCTATTTTCTCTCTACAGCCAACAAGGCCGCCATCGAATGGACCATTGAAATTTGCTCCTCTCTCTCACACCTCGAAATCCTCAGTTGAGATTCTGATTCAGAAGCTACTCTTTAAGCTAATTAGGACGAGGGCTGCTTCTTTCAGTCGGTAATGGCCGGGCTCTGTACAAACTGAGCCCACCTACTCCCTCCCCACTCTGGCTCACCAACAGTGCTTGGGAAAGTCAGATTTCCCTCCCGTGAGCTTTGCCAACACGGCATTGATTCAACACAATGGGTCTTTTCTGGGCCCTCTTTGCTGCGCGCTTTGTCATTATGCTGGATGGGGTGTGGACAGAAACCAGGAAATGAAGTATTGGGAAAGACAGAGGGAAAATAACATGGGTAGGAGGAAAAAAAGAAAGAAAACCGGGAAGAAGACAGGAAATGAAGGATGATAGAGCATTTATTGAACATCAGAAAAATAAATTTAACATTTTATGTGATGTTTTTGCTTTGTGCAAATTTATTTTTAAACTAATAAAACATTGTAATTTTTTTTCAGTAAAATGTGGAGGTACTTCAACACCCACACAGGTTTGTGCCACTATCCTTATTAGGACTGTATTGACTTCCATTCATTGTGTGCCTTATTAATTCATGTCTTACAACCAGGACCCCAGAAATACAAATTTGACTCATTAGGACCAGGCTTTGATCCTCATGAGTTCCAGTCAGTGTTTGCACAAGAGGTTACAAAAACAAGAACACACACACACACACACACACACACACACACACACACACACACACACACGGTAGTCCACTGGTTTCATATTGTATACACTTATTAATCCTCATCACTGGGTGAGTAAATGCACTTTAAATTAGGGAAAGATAAGTGTCTGTTGTTCCACACTCAATATCCCTGCTTGATGCTCCCAGTTGTGGCCCAGTGCCAGTGCACCCCGGTGTCATTGTCCTGTGATATAAAAAAAAACATTTGCCCACTCACCCTCTAAGCCCATGTGCCACCGTTGTCTTAGTTTCTATGGAGACACTTTCCTCCAGGCCAAGCATGTGGAGCGCACCCCTCCAGCGGAAGGAGGTGGAATAACATTGTGGCAGGGCAGTCATACACCAAGCTCATTTACATATCCAAACATGAACCATGGACGTGCAGCATGCAGTGTTTGTTCACTAAACATATCCCAGTAGTCGATTCAACTCAGCTGGAAATGAAGAACACAAACAATATTATGATTTTTTTTTTTTTCTTAACAACACAAAGGTTGGTTCTGTTGTGCGTGAATACAGATTTTTTTAAAGTTATTCAGAGTAAGAGGACGCTGTAGAGCACAGTGTAGAAAATATCTGTCTCGTCACACAGGTTTCATTCAGCATTCTGATCACCGTCACTCCCTTTGTACAGTTGACATGAATGATGCATGCCCCTGTCTGGGCCTGGTGTGGTTGTTGCTCATTATCTTCAGCAGGGGGCACTGTTCTATCTGTTCATTGGTATTTCCTTGCCAATTCAGGAGACACACTGTTGTCAGATGGAACTGGGTGTCTCTGACCTTGAGGGAGATGAAAGACAACCACCACGGAGACTACTGTACTCTGCATTCAAATACACAAACCTCACACACTCACCATTGTAACATGTGACCTCGAGACAAGGACACCAATAAAAGAGGGGAATAAGCCAGGCAAAAAATAAAATATGTTACCACATCATATCTGTTAACTAATACATACAAATTGCGAGTTTTGAATTTTAATATTAATAATGATAATAAATAAATTGATTTCAAAAATAAAAACATACATTGCAAAGCTCATAAAGATTACAAACAGACAAGAAAACAAAACACCCAAGGCAAGAAGCAAATCATTACAACATCATCAAAGACAAGAAATAATAAAACTAATGATTAAGACGTGAATAATTATTTTGTTCAATTTGAAATCACATGCTACTTTTTTAAAAATTACTTTTTACATCTCACATACACAAATAAAGCTATAAAAGCATAAAACAATGACAATTTTGAATTGACTTCTCTCTCCTTTGAAAACTTAGTTGATTGAAAAGCTTTTAAACAATTGGCTTGATAACAATGGAAGCAAAGAAAGCGAATGGCAGCTTAACGTCATTAACATATTTCACGGGGGCAGTAATTGTGGCTGTGACTGACTTCTGCCCATAGTCACACTGATTGCTATTCAAACCAGCAGAGATTCAAACTGCTGTGAGGCAGACAGGAATTCAAATTGTATGTTTTATAATCATTTAAATGCTCTTTGAAAACTCATCAGAAGAACACATGAGCATATACGTATCATCGGAACAAAGGCTGAACAACCAGGAGATTAAATTAATTGAATTACCCTATTTGGACTTACTCACAAAAACGCAGTGGTTGATATGTATAGGTCATGGTATATATTATTCTTGCTGTCATACAGTATGACTACTTTATGATCCATGCACCACAGGGTGGCTAATGAACCTTGTAATAAAATCATCAAGATGCATATCTTCACAATTCTCGGTCCCTGTGAGAATAATACACTCGTCTGATCTCATGTTCACTACAGACGATTTACTTAAACGACTGCTTCAATCACCTACAATCTCTTGTGGCAATGACTGGAATGTAGCACTAAGTATGACGTATGTGTTCTTTATGACTGGTGGTAATGATTAGTAAGTGTGTCATCACCATTAGGCAGGACTCATAATGTGCCGTTAACTCATAGAAAGACACCAGAAATCATTGTTATTACAGTTAAACAATTAATTGTATAGTTTCATGTGTGTTTGGTTCTGCTTGTAGACTCTAATACTGAAATGTTCTCTCCTTTAGTGTTAGAAATACATTGACTCTGCTCATATACAGTTTATCTCACAAAGCAAAATGATTTTCTGTGAAATATTCAGGAGAGTTTTTAGAATGCGTTATAATTCAATTTGAATGTTTGATTTTTGTTTTTACAGTAATCTACCCAAGTGATTCAGCGCAAATCATTCATCTTATCGACCTCACACTTGGCATGTGTATTGTGAATGGCCAAGGGAAGAGCAGTTTCAGATTTGGTGTAATTTGGACACGCAGCAGGTTCACTATTGATTAAACAGGTGAGGGTGCTCTATATGAGTCTGGGGGCAGGGCAGCATGCTAACAGTCAGCCTGTCGACCCAGTTGAACATATCTTCTTCTACTTCCCCTGATAATCTACAGCAGCAATCAAATACTGGGTCAAACCACAGGTCAAAGTCGTTAACAGATCATCTTGATACTTTTATTTCATTCATCATATTGACACACGCACATTCTCCAGAGTCAGTGGTGCTGATCATTTAGTTTAAAGTCATTTGTCATTAAAGTAAAAGCATAATGCTTGTTTTGTTGCTGTAATGCTTCATACCCAGCAGAATTTTTGAAAAGTTGTTCTTCTGAAATTCTATGAAATCTTCATCTTCATTGAACCAGCTATGATGAACACAAAAAATTCTGTCTTCGCTCTGCACCATAGACTTTATAAAAAGGTCTGCACACAATGTCCAGCACACAAACAATAACAAGTGATAGTGTAATCTAGAACTGTTTGAGCAGGACTCACTAATGACAAGTAATAATTCTAAAGTAGCTCCAGAGCTTTAAAGGTCCAGTGTGTAAGATTAAGGTGAAATGGAACTATTGGCAGAAATTCAATGTAGAAGAATCCTCATTATGTTTTCATTGGTTCGTTTAATCTAAATTGTTTGAATTATAGTTTTCTTTATCCCAGGAAAGGTCCTTTATATTCAAATACTTTATATTTACATTGAGGGAACCCTCTCTACGGAGGCCGCCATGTTTTTTACANTGGGTTTTATCAGTTGAGTGTGATTTTCCTCTGCCACACAGCTTCTGAAGAAGTGCGGCCCTTTATATTTAAATACTTAAATATTTACATCGAGGGGATCCTCTTTATGGAGGCCGCCATCTTTTTTTACAGTAGTCCAGACTGGACAAACTAAACACCTTTGAGTTTTTATGACAACTGAAGTTTACCACAGGTTCTCACTGTACCTTTAAAACAGGACAAGTTAAAACGACCACTGCTCTAGTGTTGATAATCATAAAAAGAGAAAATCAGTAATTTGACGATGGCAGATTGTTTGTCAGCGGATAGAATAATATTCTTAAAACAGCACAGATTCACATAGAATCACACGTGTTTAATCTCATCCCAAGCAGTTATTTTAAGACACAAATAATCTTTATATAAACATGAAAACAAATGGTTACCAGGGCTGGGGGGTTTTCTGGAGTCCTGCAGAGTTGCTCAGCTCCTCACCAAACAATTACGATATTGTCTGTAGTAGAAAGATCTAATTTGTTTTCAGAGTGAAAAAACAGCAACAGCAGCCTACCTCTCACTGCCAAGAGAAACCACTAAAACCTCTTGCTTTTTGACTCGAGCCAGACAAGTTTACTGTACTAATTGGTCTCAATGGGCAGAGTATCAAATGTGTAAATAATTTTCTCAGCTATTGGCCTGCTTGTTGTTTGGCTACCTTGCCTTTTTTTTCTTTGATGGTGAAGAGAAAGCTACTGATACTCCAGCCGGTGCTGAAATTCCTGGAGTATTTTTGTTTTGACTTTGTAGAAAAACTGCTTCAAATATGGAAATGAGAGTCTGGTGTTGAATCATAGAAACCAGCAAACTCAAATTATCGACAGGGGGATGTGTGTGTCATGTTTGCTGGGGGGGAACCATTTGCAGATGGGGTTTCAACGTGTTGCTGTACCGTGTTGAGGGCAGGTTTAAGGGAATCAGGTTACTTCTAATTAAGAACATAACTTGGAGCAGGTCATGGCTCCACTGGATTCAGCCTTTGAGGTTCTGACAGGGCACAAGTTGTTAATTTCTGTCTGTCTGGGCTGTGGGGGCTGCAAAGTAAAATTAGATGTACCCTGTATAATCATCCCCTGCTTTGCACACGTGTATACTTGTGATTTGTTGACACTTTCTAGGATAGCCATACAAGTGAACAGCACACAATGTGAAGGTACGGGGCAATGTGAAGTAGTGAAGTGTCAACATTTTCTGACAAAACTGAACTAAAGCTATTTCTTTTAGATGGTTTGCACGTTGACATCATGGCAGTTTTAGTGATTTGCGAGCAGCTGGTAGTTTGTGGTCATCATTCTACAGCAGCTGGGCAGGAAAAATGAGAAGCAGGGAAATTACAGCTTGACCACAATCACAGAGGACAAAGCAATGCTATTAGTTTTCTGATGCAATCACATAATCTGATGGCCCAGACATTTGCTTTAATCAGACACCTGGGAAATGCATCCAACCCATTTCATTCCATCATCACAAATCAATCTTATATCAGTATTAAATGAATACACCAAGATGGGAAATCTGGTTGGACAAGCTATTATTATCAAGGGTATCTCCTTCATTACTGCTGAATATGAAGAGCTGTCTTTCTACTGTGTGTTGTTGGCAATATACAAAGCATCCCACACACGCTTGTAATGTACTGCTGTGGATCAGTTCTGAAATGAAAAAAGAAAAAAACAACAGGAGCCTGTACTCAAAAACACACTTAAAAATTCAAATGGTGCGAGATGACTCCTTGATGATCTGTTATATATGTTCTTTTCATCCCAGCAAGCAATTTAAGATCACAGTTCACATCACTTTTGGAACACCTACAGTGTAACAAGTAACAGCTCTGCATGGATATGTGAATATCTGCATCTGATGGTGAAAGCCTTTCCCTCCCCTGCTTCATCTTCCTGCTCCTGGTATCAGTGATGCTGCACAAGTCTTTGTCTAGTCTGGGGAGGCTGGGCTGCAGCTGCCTCCTATACTATGTGGTTTCATGCAAAAGTCAGTGGGTCCCTGAGCACTTGGTGCAGGAGGCAAGCTGGTTGATTGATTGGGAAGCCCCCCCCCCNCACACACACACACACACACCCCCTCCTCCTCCTCCTCCTGCTTGTTCTTGCTCATGGAGAACATGTGCCTCTCCTGCTTTTTTTTTGTTGCTTTTCTTACCCAGAACTGCTTAATCACACACGCGCATCCATGCAGCCATGCATGCATGTGTGTGCACAAACAAAGGTGCAGGCTCACTCACACAGAGGAAATAACACAGACACACACACAACGGGTACATTGACAAAAATATGAATGAAATAGTTTTAGCATGATGTGAAGACAAGGTTCTGAATGAAACATGTGCATGTGTGTGTGTGATGCTCGCAGTCTCCAGCACTGCAGGGTTCATTCAGGGCAACATATTAGCAGTCATTACGGATAGAGACAATTCACCACACTTGTTTTTTTTTTGCTCTTGCACAGAATGAAGCACATTACGCTATAAGCAATCCATCGTCCCAGACACACACACACACACACACGCCGAGAGAGCGATAGAGAGAGAAAGAGAGAGAGAGAGGGCGCCTGGGGTAAAATGTATATTTCCACAAATTTGATATGAAGTGTTTGAGCAGGTCTTTGCATCGATCCCCTCCTCAGTTGTAGGTGGAAGGCATGGAGCCGAACAAAAAGCAGGAGGGGTGTGTGTTAGGATCACCAGCAGCTTTTCAGGACTCCAGCGACGAGCAGCCAGCCAGCCAGTGTCTGGCGAGCGTGCGTTCAGGCGCGTGCGCGCGTCCATGCATGCATGTGAGTGTGTGGACCAGCAGCCAACACACACACACACACACACACACTCCTAACATTCGTTCGCAACATGGCGTTGGAGCGCCGAGAGACACGACGGCTCTGCCCCTGACTAACGCAGCCGTGTTGTGGGGAGAGGAGCCGGAGGAGCGCGTGGAGCAGAGAGAGCGCCACATTCGACTCTTTTTCTCTTTTACGCACCACCGGAGGACACAATAGCGAATTCCTACATATGCACGTCGCTATAACGGTATAGCCGCTCGTTGTATAGACGCACGCTGCTGCTCCGCTGGTGGAAATCAAAGGCTGTACATGGCGGTGGAGACTATTTGGCTGCTCTGTCTTCTTTCGCTGCTTTCTGGTCCATCCACACAAGGTAAAAAGCGCACACTTTCAATCATGTGTTGGGTTTTCTTTTTGTTCTTTCACAGCGGAGTGCATGTGTAAGGCAGCGGGCCACTAAAGTGCAGTTACTCACAACTAAGTGGGCAGGAGAGGAGAGGGGCTAGACAGGGTGGATTTGCACCTTGCACGGTCCGATATCTCCCACCCCTCATCTCCGTGTAATAATACCGTGCTCACCTCATGTGGCCTCTCCGGTGCTTATGAGCTATAGTGGCGTGCTGTCACTTCATGGGTGTCTGCCTCTCTCTCTCTCCCAGGACGCGCCGAGAGCCTTTATATCAAGTTGCAGCACATTGCCCAGGGAGCAGCCCCTGAATGTTGCCACAGGGCGGCCAGAGGGGTTTGCACCGGGCCAGGGGGAAGTGTGGGATCAAACAGCAGGAACAGGGCTCATTATAGGATGTAATGTTTGTGTGGAGCCAACTGGAAGAAACAGTCCTTAAAGTGTTGCTTTGCCCACAAATAAAATCAGAACTCTTCTTCTTAGTGTGATAACCTTCTGAATCCTCTGACTTGGGACTTGTGGTTTTAGCCACTGGCTCAGAAAGTCAAGAATGTGTGAAACCAAAGAAATGTTTTAATAGTAAACAAATCATAAAGTTACAGGAGATGATGCACTGAAGCTGAGGGGAGGGAGGAAAGTCTGCCCACACATGAGAGTGGGTGAAAGACTATAGCCAGAGGATTTACATGACAAAGACTCATGCACAAAATCAGTGGAGTCTGCACAGTTCAACAATTTAAAGAAGATGCGATATTAAGAAATGTCTCCCAATGCTCTCCATTTCTGAAAACGTCATTAAACTAACATGCCTGCTCACTGTTTGTCCTCTGCGATGACACCACATTTGTGCACGGCAGGGAGAAATCACTGAACCAAGCTACAGGTGAAGAGGCAGATCAGAAATAACAGAAGTGATGTCAAGCAAATCAGACCAATTACCTGCAGCATGTTGCCCACGTTACATTAGCAAAGAGCTGTGGAGAGTGAAACAGGTGAAATGTAACCAGCAGTCATCGCACTGTGCAAACTGAGCTCAACTCTCATATCGGAGTGCTCTGCTGTCAAGTTTTAACTGAGTGGCAGCAGTTAAAGTTTAAGCATTACTAAGCAATAGCACAATGACAGGTGTTTGTGTTGAGAGAAAGAGAGAGGGAGCAAACAATAAAACTTTATGATTTATCTTCTTTGGTTTGAGCGCTCCAAGAGCTGGAGTTCATACTCGGGCTACTCAAACATTTGGATCGATGAGATTACTGCTCAAGACAGATCTTTAAATCTTTGCTGTTTGGTTTACAGTTTGTAAAGAAAGAAGTGTATCGGCAGTTATTTTGATAGTTGATTCATTGTGTGCATGGGGATGTTTCAGGCAAAGAATATCTGTTCACAGCTTCTTGAATTTGCTGCTCTGTAATCACTACTATGATCTTTAGGGTTTTATGCTCATGTTGACATGAAACAAGGAATCTGAGGATCCCACATGAGTGCATATCTCTGCTAAGGTCGAACAGTCTGCTTATGAAACCACATATACATTCACTAGATCCAGATTTTTATGTGAATCTGCACCAAATTGAACACACATATATCAAATATCAGTCAGTTTTTCATCAGTTGCCATTAATCAATTAAATCTATGAAAATGTTCAAGACAAACTTCCATTGTTTAAGAAAGTGAAAAAAAGTCCTGGATCTGCCCAGTTATCCATAGCCGCATCAAAATGTAATGGGTTCTTGCCTTGGTCACGCCTCACCCCTCCACAAATTCCTATTTCATGGGAATTGGTTGAGTAGTAATCCTTCTAACTACAGCCGTTTTAAGACATGAACTCTGCAGAATGTCAGCAGGATTGGGTCCGGAGTCTCTGGAGTTTGCCTTTGTCATGTGAAAAACAGCAGTAGATTCTCAGCTCAGACGCGTTGACATCAACACAGATATCTCAGGAGGTTTCAGGTGAGGGGTGTTGCAGCAGAGGCTTGCATGTTTTGGTTTACAGCACATCGACACGGCTGTCAGCCCCTTAATACCCAAAACTCTCTTGACATCTTTGTTGGTGTCTTCTACATGTGTGTCACCGTTTTTCCATCCTGATATATTTGTTTTCCTTTAGTTATTTTTCATTTTTGCCTCTGTTGTTAGAAATGTATTCAACACACCAACACTGGTGAATCCTGGGGTGGATCTCCCGCTGTGTTCTCATTTGGACCCATTCAGACTTCTGTTGAGTTTTTATTGGGGGGGAAACTCCTCAGAAAGTCCGGAGCGTCTCGCTTGGACATTTGAGGTTTCACGCCCAGCCCTTGCAGAGAATGTCAGCAGATTATTAGGAGTTCAGTGTATGTCTGAAAGCAGCTTTACAAACAAACAGTGGGAGATGAAATAACATCCTTTGTGGCAGTATCAACTGATGAAGATAATAATAACTGGTTGCAGCTCTACATTATTGTGGAGGCTAAAAAACATCTGTGTCGTATATTTATTTAAATGCTGTTGAGTAGTTGTATTTATTGAATATTTTCTTGCATCATTCAAAGTTTTTCATTCATAATTTTACCCTCCTCTTGTGTCTGCATGGGGTTCACTCGCACCATTGAAATGCTGCTGCCTCAGCCCCGGGATGTCATGCTCTGCAGTGGTCTCAACCCACAGTGATGAGAAATGAAGCAATATTGTGCACAGGGGCTGGTGTGGTGTTGTTGAAAAGTCAAGTGTGTCAGAATGGATATATATCAGAAGAGTCTGATATATTCTCTGAGAAAGTACATGCAGGTAGACGCCACCTCCCACAGACATATAAAGTGCCATCCTTTTACCCATTTCCCCTTATTCATTGTTCAATTATGCAAATAAAGGCCTAAAAAAGGAAACTAGACGTAAAGCCCCCTTGATTTCCATCTGTATGGTATTAGAAGGTCAGCGGATACAATTTATATAGAGTGAGATTACCATGGCTCGCAGACTGCAGCAGAGACAGAATAAGGAATCACTCCCCTTGAGATCATCCTGACATGAGAGTGAGTGCCACACTGGGGGCGATCACATCCAGATGATGAAATCACTGGCAGGTAAATGGTGATTGTGATGGAGGTTGCCGGCGATAAGGGCGAAGAGGAAATTGATTTATTTGCACTGCGTGATTTGTCACTGAAAAGTTGGTAACAAAACATTGGTGACAGTTTGTTCGGCAAACTAAACGCTTTGGCATTCATGAGATGTCGCGTTTCTATCGCAAAAAATGATTTAAAATAATGTAAACAAATCAGATTACAATATATTGTAATAATTCAGAGTTGCCATCAAAGTGTTTTGCTTCAGAGGGAAAAAAAACAAATTTGTATTCATGAGCTCTGCTGACAGCCGCATCATGGTTTGTGATCAAATGAACAGATTAGTATGTATTATTAACAAATAATTACTCTGCATTGGTTATTATTATTCATCAAAACCAGGGAACAACACAGTCATTGAGGGCGACGTGGTGTCTGCTGTCTCTCTTCTTTCGCTCTATGTGTGTGTGTGTGTGTGTGTGTGTGTTTTGTCAGGTTTTGAAACTGGAGCATGAATGTTGTGGGTGTTGCTGGTGGTGGGAACTGAGCTGGTAGTGAGTGGGGGCTGGGGGTGATTCTGGGACAGGGATGAATTGGACGGGTGCTGGTGGGGCGAGTGCGAGGGCAAGGGCCATCGCTACATCCACAAACAAAGAGCTTGTCTTGTCCGTTCTAAAGATCAAATGAAAATATGTCAGCTTCACTTAACACATCTCTGGCAAATGAGTGAGTGTGAGTGTCTCTCTCACAGTTATCAATGGGGACAATAAAAAGAAAAACATCATTAGTCCTGCAAGAATTTATGAGCTAATTAATGTGATTATCATGAATATTGTAAACAGAACAGTTGCTTGATGAAGTGGAGGCGAGAATATGAGAATAATGAGTCCATTACCCAAATTTCCAGCATTATTCTTGATTCTCTGTGATGATAATGTTTGCGTTAACAGTTGTAATTATTACCACTGCCAAGGAAGTTGTCTTTTCACCCGTCTGTCTGTTTGCTGAATCAAGCTTACACAAAAACAAGGGGTTTGTGGTATGGGTCAGGGAAGAACCCATTCAATTTGGTGTGGATCCAGATCAGGGGTTGGATCTAGGAACTGTCTGTAACATGGTGAGACAGGGGCGTTTCCAACATTTTTGTCATTTTCCCAGAGAATATTCATGTATCTTGATGACAGAAAATCAGGCATCTTTTGGGCCTAGGTGAAAGAATGCGTTCTATTGAGGGACATTCTAATTTTTTGTCTTGTGTCACTTTTTCTGTAGCAGCAAGGACAAAAACAACCACACTCAACAAATCGGTCCTTATTCACAAATCCAGCAGTTATGCAGCAAAGCTATCATTCACTATTTTATGCCATGTGGTGAATCTGCCAGCCTTTTTGGTCACGACACAACCTTCACTGATTCATCAGGTTTCCCCTTTCAGAGGAAAACAACAGACATTAGCCTTGGCAACCAGCATATAAGCCAAAACCTACTGTAAAGCTCCGTAAAGCCAAGGGGAGCTGCAGATTCAGGTGATAATGCTCTGATAATTCTATTGGTTCATCGCTGCCAGTGTCGTCTGCCAACTTATCACACTGATGGATAGATATCCCAGTATGTTGTGTGCAGCAAAAGATGGGCTGGCTTAAAAACATATGCAATGGTAAACAGATCTACTCTTTAACCTGTTCAACAGAAATCAGATTTTATTGCTTTCATGTGTTACTGTAATGAATGGTAATATAATAGAAGAGTGAATAATCCTTTAATAAGCTTCAATGACATTGTTTTTTAAGTCCCAGTGGCATTTTGTTCTTGCAGTGGATTTAATGATATTTCATTTGAACGATAACGGTTGATTTTTAAAATGTTTTCATGCTGTGAAATTCAAGTACAAGCGAAGAATGTGAATGGACCGTGACTTTAAT